GATTTGGTTTGTTTTGTGTTTTTCTTTTTCCTCTTAAATAAAAAAAAAAAAAAAAAAAAAAAAAAGAAAAGAAAAGAAAAAAAAAATTTTGGCAGTGAGATTACCTAAAGCAAAGCAATTTTTCCATTAATATTAAAGGGAAAAAAATTCTCTGTTCCCCAAATTGTCTTGAAAACTTAAATGTTCTGAATCAACTTTGGAATTAAATTTGTCTAAAATGTTTCTAATAGCATTAATGGTCTAGAAAGATGTGACTCATAGAGCTAGGCATGAAATCTCTTTCCAGAGAATAGTGAGGCCAGAGGTCAGTTTATGTACCACAGGTCTTTTCGGCTCTATTCTATTTTTCCATCCTTTTCTTGACCTCCAGTTCCCTCATCCTGTGGTGTGACAACTTCACTACTCAAGACATCCAAGATTCCAAATGTTAACTAACATATTCCCCAGTCCCAGAATGTTTAGATGATTATTCCAGTTCTCTGCTAAAAGTTCTCCAACTTATCTCCTTTTTCTATTATTTTCTGTTTCCTCGATCATGCTAATCATAGTTATTTTTAAGCCCTTATCTGAAAACTGGAATGCCTAAATCACCTCTGGATTTATTGTATTTATTGATCTGGATTTTCAGTCATAATTTCATGCTTTATAGCATGCCCTGCAATTCTGTATTGAATGCTGAAAATTTTGCATGAAAAATTATGAATGGTACCGTCTTTCAAAAAGAATGTTAAGGAAAACTATTTCGAAGAAAACAAAAGACAACATGGTAGTCACTGCTGATTTCCTGTTGTCTTGTTTTGAAGTCCTGTTTGTTTGGTTCTATTCTGATTTTTGTTCTGTTTTGTTTTGTTTTGCTTAATTCTCTTTAAAATAAAAAAATTTTTAAAGAATATTAAATTTTCTTCTGGCACTTGGAAAACAAATAGTGGTATGTAACTCTGATCCTTCCTACATCTGATTTAAAGGTCTGTGAGACTTATCTACTTCAGATGTGTGCCCTGCACTCTGTAGAGCTCAGGTGTTAGAAAAAGTCCACCTCTGTTCCCTCACTTGGAAGGACTGTAGCAGCTCCTCTTGATTTCTGTACAAAACTGCATTTGTGCAACAGGTACTGTGGGAGAAATTTGAAGGCATAAGACTACATAGTGCCAAGAGGGTTTTCTAACTCTAGGCTTCTCTGCTTTTATGTACATGTTTAACTAGATGAGGAAGAAGAGGCTGTCGACTTGTATGAGGGCCAAAATGAAACATCTTTCACTGGGTTTAATTTTCAACAGATTTTCTAACACAAATTCCCAAGGCCTTGATCATTTGCTAATTCACATACTCAGTGAACACTTCTTCTATATTTAAAAGTCATGTAGCCAGGATTCCTAACACTGCCTATTCCCTAAGAACTAATGCCACATTTAACAAATACTTAAGAAATCTTTTTATCACAAAGCCTAAGTTTCATAACAAAAGGTTATAACTTAGCAGGCTTCTAATGAATCTGGCTTATAAGGGTTTTGCTAAGTGAAAATATTATTCTCCTGTTTCTCATCTAATGGAGGAAACCATGAGCTAATAATGCTTAGAAGAGAGATCACTGGAAATCTGAGATGCCATCCTCCAACAAGGGAATCCACTTGATTCCTGATTATCTTCTTTTTTAGTATTTATTTGCAATAGTAATTCTTTAATTCTTTGATAATACTATTAAAGTAAATATAATATCTAACATTCTACACACATCAACAATATTCTCAATGCTTCCAATAAACTATATGTCATTCAGTTGCCAAAATAACGCCAAATTCACCACACTCCAGAGAGACAAATGATTCACAAGTGCTCATAGTAGGCAAGAGCAGGACCAGCCTCATCTGGGGTCAGACTCCCCGGCCAAGTCTGGAGCTCTGTATCCCAAAAGTCACACCCTACACCCAGGACAGCCAACGCCCATCTTGGGAATGGAAGTGACAGAGATGGTAAAAAATACTAAAAAGTACAACCCTAAGCTAGGATTCAGCTTATTTTTTCCATTTATTTTTATGTTACTCAGAGTATATTTCACCAGATAAATAAGACAGGATGATGCAATTAAAAAACAAATAATAGAGAGAATAAAAAGCAAAGAGAAGACAAGAAAAGAAAAAGAAAGAGCAGAGCTACAGTGAGGAGAAATGCACTTAGAACCAGTTCTGCCACCAACTAGCTACGTGGCTTTAAAACCTTTCATTTTATCTATATAAAAATCCACCAGGGTTTTAGGGACCTATGGCAGCGGTATTATTAATCAGCAAATACTGGCTCATTATTATTAGTCAAGGAATAACTGCAAATAAGAATCATGCTTTAATTTCTATTATACCATCCTAAACTGAGGTCAGTATAATCTAAACAAAAGGGAAGAAAACTATTATCAGACAGTTGAGAAATAGTTTCCTTCTTTCGGGGAACTGTTTGTAAAGTAAGGGGAAACTGTCAAGGGTTTCCTGGATGACTGTCTCCTTCATTACTCTGCAGCTTTCTGAAGGTGAACCACAAGAGATAAAGCCTGGAAGCCCAACTTAGAAGATGGGATAATTTAAAACATCATTTAGAGCATATTGACTTTCTAGGCCTTTCATCTTCCAAAAGTGAAACAAATTGAAAACCTCTTAGTTTTGTTACATTCATGTCCAATAAAAATCTAGTTTACAAGTGGAAATATTAAATGGTAGAATTTGGTCAGTATTTGATCATATTGAATTTTTAGGTTTTTTTCATGCCTCACCTTTGTTCAGAGTGGAAAGTCAAGTTTAGTTAGTGACTCCATTCTGCTACCTAAAACCAAAGGGCATGATTTCAACTTTTCGTAACAAGCTAAAAAGAAAGCTCTTATTCCCAAGATGGCCAGCTGTCCATCCAGAGTGGAAATTATGTTAGTCTTCTATGTGGACTTGCTCTTATACCACTGTCTGCTAAAATATGTAGAATATTTACAGCCATTCAGGTCAGCTCAGTCTTACTAAATGTGTGTATTTTAAAACTCCTAATTTCCTTTTAAGCGGCGGAAAGTTAGAAATCTGACGTTAGGGGCTGGGGATTTAGCTCAGTGGCTTAAGTGCCTGCCTTGCAAGCGGGCAGTCATGAGTTCGATACCTGGTACCAATAAAAAGTTAAAAATTAAAAAAAGAAATCTGACTTTATTTCTCCATTGGTTTTTAATTTTTGTTTAAACATAGCTTTGATATAAGTCCAAAAATCATATGATTACAAAATTAAAAGAAAAAAGCCACCTATTTCTGTGAATTTTCAACTTAATGACTGGAGTCTTTTTTTTTTTTTAAATACACTCACAAAGTATTGAGCCTGTATGTATTGTCTTACTCACTCTGCAGTCTAATTCCTGGCTCTCTTGTTTTCTGCTGATGACCACTGGCCTCTAGAATGCTCACTTACAGGATTATCCAATCAAAGTGACTTTACTATGCCCAGCCATAGGTAAACCCACCACATAAAGGACAAGTCATTTATCTAAATAATTCTAAGGAAGGTAGGAACAGTGTGGCTCAGAGTGTATGTATAACTACTGACATTCTTATTTGGGGTAAAGACGCCCAAGTTATGACAAAGGAGGCTTATTGCATTTGCCAGCCCTGCTTTAAGACCCAAGCATTTTTCCATTTTTGTATCTCTAAGAGTTATATGGAGTAGGAAATAGCTCCATGTGGTAGAGAGAAGAAGTGCATTATCTCTGCAAGCTAATGTCTATCCACACCTGGTCACATGCAAAGCTTCTGCCAGAAACACAGGAAAATAAAGACAGGCATCAGCTAGACCTAAGGAATCTCCAGGGAAAATAATACACCCCATTAAATCTCCCCATGAGACAGGAGGAGTCCTAAAATCAAGACTAATTAATCTTCCCTCTCATTTTGTATTTACCTTTTCTTCCAACTCTGAGGGCCACGAAGCATGGATGGCACCACCCTACCCAAGGCTATATTCAGTTTCCAAGTGCACAAAGGGACTCTCCTCTTAGTGGTGACTTTTGCTTATATGTAAATTCTATTTCTTCTGCAAAGCTCTGAAGGGAACTAAAAGTTCATAATCAAATAAATAATGGATGGGAGATTTCATAGCATTTTTTATGCACAGCAGCACTAAGGCTTTAAAAAATATTTTGAAATTTATCAGTCCTTATTTTTAACCTAAAAATAATAATCATCACTTGTTTTGTTCTGGAAGTATTGAAAAAGTTTTCACTGGTGTTAATTGTCTAACACAAACACTCAAGTTGCAAACTTTCACAGATACAAATGGATCTCACATCATGAACTTTTGCAGATGCAAACAAATCGCAGAAGTAGCACAGGAGTCTGCGGGATGAGACATTGTCACAGCTGTGCTGCCCTGTGCTCCTGTGCAGGGCGGTGGTGCACATCAGTGCAGGGCTCACTCAGAGCCGGGGATGCCCAGAAGCAGGAGGAAAGCAGTGGTGATGAGGAGGGGCTGCTAAGATGTGCAAACAGTAACCATGGAAACAAAAGGGCAAATACACTAGAGAACTTCACTTTGTTGGACTTAAAAAGGAATCCAACCCACCAACGTTCTTCTAGAGCAGAACTCATTTGTAAGTTGGGGGCTTACTGTAGACAGTTTTTTATTAACTTAAACTGAGAATAAACACCATGCCTTCATGAACATGGTTACATTCAATCAGGGTTTTTAAATATATACATCTCTAGTAGATTAACGTAAAACAAATGAGGTAGTAGCATTTGTGCTAACTTCAAGGAAAGTACTATGTATATTACTTAATTGCATAGTTTCTTCACAGTAAGCTTAAACATGAAAATATTTGTTTTTTACCATACAATCAGACAAAAATGTATGTTACACAGATAAAATGGCCAGAAGCCCCTCAATTTAGCTTCTTACTTTTATATTTCCATGAAATTATAAGTTTCTATGTTGCGAGAGATTCTTTTTTTTTTTTTAAAGAATCTGTACTGATTCATCTATTCATTTACCTAAGAGTAAGATGCTCCAGAAAGCAATGATGGTAGGTTCTTCATCGCATGCCAGGTCACCTGGTAAATGTTGACAAGTCACTGTAGTCTCTTTATAGGTGACCTCAGTCTGGAAAACGTATGAAATTTGGGGAGTTAGAGAGGTCCTGAGAGAATCTTTACTTTACTGCATATTGGTTCAATGATGTGGACATAAAACATTTAAAAAAAATACTGAAACTCACATTCCTATTTGTAAAAAGGAAGGAATCCAACAAGCATGCAGGTTTCCTCTAATCTACATAATCAGTGTAGCACAGATCATCAAGGAATGCTGGTCACTGGAGACTGAGTGTCTCTCAGCCAAAATGTTTGGGACCAGAAGCATTTCATATTTTCCATTTTTGTTCAGACTTTGGAATGTTTGCACATGCATAATAAGATACCTGAGGATAAGACCCAAGTCTAAAGGAGAAATCTGTTTTTATATTCCTTATACATATAGCCTAGAGGCAATTTTATGTAATAGGGTTAGTAGTTTTGTGCATTAAATAGTTTCATGGCATGGAGTTTACCAACTTAGTGTCATGTCATGTTGGGGCTCAAAAATTTTACATTTTGAAGCATTCTGGATTTTGGATTTTCAGATTAATAGAGAAAGCTCAATCTGTATTATTAGTATTCACATATGTGAGGGTCACTCTTGTAAACTGTGGGGAGATCTGTACTCTGGCTGCTCCTCACTTCCTCCAGTGCAGATGAATAAAAGAGGAACAGAGAATAAGACGAAGCAGGCCTGCTCCAAGCTCTTCACAGCTGCTCCTGACTGTACATGAAGGGACACTGAGAAAGTGGAATGGTTGAAGGTCGAGGTGAAAAGACTTGTGTTCCAAAGGCACAGCCACCAGAATGTCCCCCTGAAACCCACCTGCCTGTATACATTTGGAAATGAGTAGATAGAATTTGGACTAAGTGACCACTGTGCTTCCTGCCACCTGCTGTTCCTGCAGTCAGCGCATACTACAAAGGCTGCCTCTCAAATTCCAATAAAATATTCAGTGCACTGTAAAAGTTCATCACAGTAAAAATGTGCATGCTACGCAACAGGAGTGGTTCCTTAATCTAGTAGGTGGAAGACAGGCACATCACCCCCCGCCAGACCCAAGTGTGATTATGTTTGCTTACAGCAGTGCAGGCTAAACAGAGGTGACCTCCTAAATTGGTTTCCAGTTTAATTAGTGAGTCTGGTAGGGGCTGGGTATGTACCTTTGTGAAAGCAGCTGATCGTGAACTAATATAGTTTATTACCAAGGGCTACGGCTGAGCTCAGATAGACAAGTGGTGATACCATAGGGCAAAGATAAGAGGCCCGCATGGCTCCAGAGGAAAATTCCTTTCCCAAATTGGCTACAAAGCAGGTTATTTGTTAAATGTAACCTAAATCTGGCTGTTCCTGGCCCTTCGGCAAGAACACTTTGCCAGCCTCGCCTTGCCTAGGCTGTCCAGCCACAACCCCCTCACCATTTTCCTCAGTGGATAAGCACCAAGGTCCTGGGTGGCCTGTGGCCTTTTGTCCCCAAGAACAACTGATCATCCTGGGTCCCTACTGCACACCTAGGTCATGTCTTGCTCTTTCTTCCAGCCATGCGCTGTAACTCCAAACAGGAGTTCAGAACCCACCACCGAGGTCTCCAACAATAGACATTCCAGCTTATATTTCATATTGAATGTTTGTGATTATCCATATTGGCTTCTTTTTAACTGATCTTCTTCTGTCTCTATCTTTTGTCTCTGTCCTTTTATTTTCTGCCTCATCTTTTGTCTTTTTTTCCATTTTCTGAATGCAGTGTCTAAATGCCAAAATGCCAGTTCAGAGTCACATGTCTGACAGCATCATTGTTAAAGATGCTTGCCTACAAACCCTTACCTAATACATACTCGTCACATGACACCCATAAACATGGCACTGGGCTTGGTATCTGGTATGGAGATCAGTGGCTTCATTCTGCTCTGGAGGCCTTGTAGCTGGTGGGAGATAAAAACAAACCACCACTCTGTTAGAGAAAGGATGAGATCTTAGCCAGTGCAGAGAGCCACAGAAAGAAAGGGGGAGAGCTGAAGACCCAGGAAGAGTTAGAGAGGCTGCACAAACGCTGAAAGTCAAGAAATTCTTACTAAAATCATCATTAAACCCATAGTATTCACATTAATGCAGCATCGAGTGAGTGTTGCCTCTACTGAGTTATCGAAGGAAAGAAGTAAGTTATGAGCAGCTTGACCAAGCACTGACTTCAGTCATGTTGTTCCTCAGCCGTGGATATATTTTCAATACTTTATAGTTATCAGATGTACACTGTACAGAGCTTCACAGTAGAACTTACAGAGAATCATCAAATACAGAATAAAATCCCCGTCCTTAAATAAGCCACATTAATTCAGTGCATGCTTATTGTGCTTTGTACTTTTTTCATATACCTGGCATTTGCAGGTTGAAACAAGAAAAAATATTTATTAAAGCAAAAAGAGAAAAAGAAACCTTAAAAAATTGAGCATTACTAGTGCTTAGTTCTGAGGATCTCTCAATTCTACCCCACAAACCAGTAAATGACATCTTGATGTCTGGTAAGCCCTGGAAACTATTATAAAGCCATATACACACACACACACACTGAGGACTAAGGATGGAAGCCGTTAGAATAAAAAGAAAGGAAGTAGGAGGAGGATTTGGGCCTCTATCGTACAGCCCTTTGCCTCATCTTCCCAGCTCACTCCCAGGCAAGCTCGGGTCAAAGAGGCCCATCTTCTCTACACCACAGGCATCATGGCACCCCAAAGTCAAGACTATTCATTGCCATTCCTGGGGTCTGCTCGCTACTCCCTCTTCCTGAACCTTTAACCCAGCTCGTGTTGGCATCCATGAACAAAGACAGGCCAGGCTTTTCCATTGGTCATATCTTGCACTTCATTCGCAGAACACCTGGGGATCTTTCTCCCCCAACCTACAGACTGTCCACGACTCCCTGGCCCTGGCCTTGGGCAGAAGCCCTCGAGCCTCATCACAGTCTGTGCCTTATAGCACAAAAGTTACAATCTGAGGGCAATGACACAGTCTGCTGCACTCACCTCCACAATTTTCAGTACCTTGTAGCTTCCAAGAATTTCAGCTGTGAGAGTCACTGGTTTACTTTTAATCCACACAAGTGTCCTTCCTACAAATAGATGAGAATCAATTTGTAAACAAGAGCCAGTTACCCTTTAAAGCCTCACTGTACTTAACATGTCAGACATATACCAAGGGCTCAAAATATTTCTGAATTATTCATTTCATTGAGGCATAAACAATAATAAATGGTGTACTGACTTTTAATCAGGGCATTTGAATAGATTTATTAGTATGGGAGAACGTCACACTTAAGTATTCTTATGTAAATTTGATGACTATATTAATTTTTAAAATTCCATCAGTCTGTCAGTTAGCAACCTTTCCTACACACCCACTAGCATTACGATCCAGTTTTCTAGAGAATTACTTAATTAAGTAAACTATAGTTAGTCTAAAATAAATACTGTTCTCTAGAACCTTACCAGGTATAAGGACATGAACCTCAGAAACTTTATTTATGCAACCAATAAATGAAAAATACTGATAGAGTGACATAAATATGGTGTAATATAAATTGTCATAGTTCCTAAAACATTTTTAATTACATAATTTTAGCTAAACAAGGAACCATTTATTGGATATTTTAAAGTTCAAGCTCATTCTCAAATTTTATATAAGGAATTCATTCAGTGGTAGATCTGTTTATACGCGATGCTTTGTGACAGATTATACACAAATACTAGATGTCAACTTCCAAGAAATACCTTAAAGTGCCTAGAAACTTACGAAAGGCAGCAATTTGCCAGTAAGCTCCCCTATAGCCTTTAATATCTTCAAACCAAATGAATTTCTATACCCATTACTTCCAGAATTTTAGCAAAATGCCATAAAAATGTTATCCTTTTCCACATATTCTACTGCTTTAAAAAAAGAAAGACAGGAAGTATCACTATATCCTAAAACTATGCCTGAATTAGAAAATGCTAAAATCATTTCATCGGAAAGCATTAATGTAAGACAATATCTCTCTCACACTAGCGGGTCTGCATCAGACAGGATAATCTGTAGTACAATATCCAGGCACCACCTTTTTGAAGACATTGGGAGATGTTCCCACCTATGAAACTGCAAATCTTTGGGGAAGACTTGATTTAGCACCAAGAACCTAGGTCTTCTCTATGTCTCTCTTCTGTGTCATGCTATGGTACCACTTCCAGAAGCATTTTTTAATTCCTCTTCCATGTCTTTAACTGCACTTTTGTGGGTGCCTCAGTGCTTGAATCCATTCAAAATGTTTATTTTCACAGTCATTGTGACCTTAGGGAAGAGCCAAAAGTCTCAGGTGCCAGATCAGTGAACAAGGACCCACCTTCGTGTTATTTAACCAAAACTACCTTAAACAGTTGATCTAGAGATGATCACAACACACAGTAGATGTTTAATAAAATTTACTATAGTAAAAGACACAGTCATTAATTTCCTCCTCACTTCAAATGCAATTGTTCTATTATTTTTGATGTCTTCTACTGTAATAAGGATTTTTTAATTTAAACATTCACTGTATCTTTGGATCACATTGTGTACATGTATTTGATCAAACATAAAACAAGCTTCCAAGTGCAGTCAAAAGCTTATTTGATGTAAACAAAGAGCAATGTGAGCAAATTATAAAAGCATGGACTAGTGTGATAAAAAGTGTAAGTTCTTTAAACAAACGGGGGGGGGGGGGCAGGACCGGAAAGGCAGGGGTGATGAGTAGTGATGGATATGAGCAGGGAATCTAAAAGCCACGGGGCTCACTCAGTGGGGACCCTGTGAAGGTCCCAAGTAGCTGAGTAAGTGCTTTGCGTTGACAGGTTCTTCAGGCAGCCCTAGAAAGGAGTTGGAGAAGGCAGTAACGTCACTCAAAAAACCCGTAACAGGAAGACCACTGCAGCACCCAGGCGGAGACACTGTGGGAACGACACGCTGATAAGATGCAAAAAGAAGTGGAGTCCGGAGAGGTTCATGACTAAGGCTAAGAAGTGAGAAAGAAAAACAGCAAATAGGCTCCAGCGCAGAATGATAGAAAACGGGTGGTTTCAGTCACCAAGACAGGGAACACATTTAAAGAGAATATGAGTGTGATCAGAAACTACAAGTTAGTGTTTGATTTTAAAATTTATTCCAGAAAAAGACATGGTCACTAAGCCTCCAGAACACTCTCACTTGCTCTGAACCACTGGCCCCATCATCCTAGCCACTTTCTGAAGCGGTTCTGGAAGCCTTTTATTATGTTTTTGTTGCACATCTTGGTTGCCTCCATGCCCTGAATTAATTCAAAATGTTTATCTTTCATTATTGTTGTTGATTTTGAGGAAGACCCCAGCGTCACACAGTGCCAGACCCAGTGGAAAAGGCAAACAAGGACACAGCATAATGTTTTTTATGAGCCTGCCTTTCCATAGGAGGGTACTCGGAAGAAGCATCCACTGTATTTTTTGAAACACTCCACAGAGACACTCACAAAAGAGCACTTCCAGAACTGCTTCAGAAAGTGGGAAGAATGGCGGGGTAAGAGTGTTTGAAACAATGTGGGGGAATATGAGGAGCTTTCATGGCACTGCGTCTTTTACTGTAATCATTCTTAATTTAAATATCCACCGTATATTTTGATGACAGCCCCTAGATAAAGGGACATGTATAAAGGAAATAAACACAAATAAAAGGAACAGATTTGAAGAGGTGGGACAAGTTTAGTTTTAAATATGCTGACTTTAAGATCTGTGCAGGTAACAGCATGAATGAACCCAGAACAGAGTTTCCGGTCAGGATCCAGACAGCAGAGGACCACCAACAATGTGGCAGCCGAAGAACAGGACCAGAGAGAGGCTTCGGGTCACCCGTATCAAAGAGACAGAGAATGTGGTGGGCAAAGGAGACCACAGGCAGCAGTCAGAGAGATGGAAGTCAGGACTCCACTACAGTGCACACAGGAAGATCAAGTCACAGCAGAACTGAGAATAGACTCTGCTGGAAGCAACCTGTAAGAGGTTACCTGGTGGCAACTTGCAGTGCCAGGAGTTTTACGGCAGGTCCAATGGCAGCTTCAAGGTGAGTGTCTGGTGACACAAAACGCAGGGGACTTGTGGGGGCGGGGGTGTATGCTTCAATGTATACAAAAAGAGCAGAATCTAGACGGATGCGTAGGATAAAGGGAAAAGCACTTTGTTTGGGGTTTTTTTCCTTCATATGTACAAGATATGTACAAGTTTGTGGGCCAAGAAGAAGCTACCTCAACAAAACAAATCAAAAGACAAAGGAAAGAAAAAAAGAGAGATGATTTCACAGGAGACAGGCAGAAGCTGAGTCCAAAACTCAAGGAGAGGTCCAACGAGCCAACTTGCTGCACGGACAGTGCTGCAATCACCAGGCATGCATGGCTGCTGAGGACCTGCAATTCATTAGTGCAAGGGAGGAACAGAATTTTTCATCTGATTCATCTACATTTAAATAGGTGGCTGGTGGCTTAAGACTTGGATATGACATCTCTAAACTGACGCAGTTACTATGAGGCCGGGGCCCTATCCACCCTGACTGCACAGGCGGGGGTTGTTTGTGTCTCCTGATCTCATGCAGGAAGGAAGACTGCACTGATAAGGGACAGAGGAGCGATGACAGGGCAGGAGCCACCGGGGAGCAGTATGGTTCAGCAGGGACACAAAGAGCCAACCGGAAAGGCTAACAGCATAACAGCACAACTGAGAGCCAAGTCGGGCCTGGCAAGCACGCATGCGACTGCGGACGTCATATACTGTGCCACGGACACTGAAGGAGGCAAACCAGGTGTTAGGAGAAAAGAAAGGGGGCAAGGGATCAAAGGCTCACACAGGTCAAAGAGTGCCCACAATTCAAATAAGCCTCTTCTCCTTTAAATTGTGCGTGGCAGTATTATGTCCCATTAAAGTGAGTACGATGTCGAATCAGGACTGGAAGCGACAGTGCAGTTCTATGCAATAGCAAGTCTTGACTGGCTTAGAAAGAGCGGACAACAGAAACTTCATGAGTTTGGGTAGATGTCCCACTGGGCATTGGAGTAGCACAAGATGACAAGCCTGAGATCCAGAAAAGCCAGTGGTATATGTCAAAGGCATGAGAGCCAGAAAATTGATGCTACAGATTCCAGGTTGCATCTAAAAGCCTGAGAAATAAAAAGTGCCCAGGGCAAGAGAAGCAGTGATGTTCCAATTCAGCAGTCAAGTGGGCAGGCAAACCCAGCTTTCCTCTATCGCTTAGCTCTAGTCAGACGGTGGGGGTTGCCTGCCGCCCACACTGGGTAGGGCCACCGGCTCTATTCAGTGCTCCAATCCAAACGCTCATCTCTCTGGACACTGTCACAGACACACTCAGAAGTAGCCTTAATCACATATCTGGGCTCCCATGACCCAGTCAAGTTGTGCAATATTCACTGTGACAGGGTGCAGTGGAAGACAGAGAGCCAATACGAAGCCCTCCAGAGACAGGAAATCAGTAGTCCAGGTGTGCTACACATAGTGAGTGAAATTGCTACACCTGGGGGAATCGCATAAGAAAAGTCATCCTTAGGGGGGCTCTCTTCAGAAACCGCAGCAGCCTAGGCAGGGAGGAAGGGGCAGAAGAGATGGTGATCAGGGGCTCCTGGGGAAGGACTTTTGGGGAGAAGCAGAGACAGAGGAAAACCCAACAGACTACAAAAGGGTGGCCTCCCAGCAGGGAAGGCTGTGTCCCCCCCAGGCTCAAAGCGCCGGTCCTTGAGATCAGATTCTCCAGGACGGCTGTGCTTCGCTGTCTTCAAAGAGGCAGAGGAAACAGCTGTACTTTGCACTATGATTAGTATTACAGAATTTGGCCTGGCTTTTGTACAGTTCTTCCCACTTTGGAGTTATCTTATACATCTGTACATATCTTATGTATCTATTGAACTCAATAAGGGCAAATATCTCATCGGTGTCACCTATACCATGAGGCTGTAACCACGCCATCAGTGTAGCCAGACCATACTGAACCTCTCTGCACTGAAATCAGTACTTTCCCAAATTCACATTCTGTCTCTTTCTGTGTCTCTGTCTCTGTCTCGCTATTGCTCTC